GATTAGCGCAGAGAAAACTCTGCATGATTTGGAAACTAAACATCTAAAAGTATATTTTTCTTCTAATTTCTTCGAAAAATCTATTAACATAACGTATTTAGACTGAACTTCGTTCAAATTTGGCGAAAAAGTAAATAATCACACTGAATAATTAGAATTTATTTTAATACTATCTCATACAGCTTTAATGCACGAATGAACCACCAAAAAGTTCTCGATAAAAGAATTCTCGACCACCAACGAGACTTACAGTTACTTGAACTCCGACAGCTCAAAGAAAGAGCCGAAATGGACGAAAAATCTTTCGAAGAAATCCAATCTTTGAAAATTACTCAAACCCAAAGGGTACAAGAAACCCGCGGTCAACAGTTGACCGAGTTTCATTTGGAGAAGGATCGAGTTTACGAGCTGAAACAGCAAGTTAAAGTTGCAGCGATGGACAAAGAAAATGCCATAGAGATGAAAAAATTGTTGCAGGTTCATCGTGCTCAAGTGAAAGCTATGAGAACCCAGTTTCAGCAACTTATGAAGTGATGAGAAAATTCTTAAAAATCTTAGAGTCTTTGATTAAATACCTTCTTTGTAGACAAAGGAAGGCTCTGTTCAAAGCAAAGCAAGAGCAAAAAATGACAACCGAAGCTATAGATAATATTCGTGAGAGCTCTGTTTCTCGTCTTCCTTCTACAGACTCGGTTTGCATTGACGACTACTACGAAAATGACGACAACGACGAAGTGGAATCACAATCTAGCAGATACTCTCGCAGTTCCCAATCCCGGCCGGAATTCCCGCTGCCACAACAAACCGTCTCAACAGCACCAGAGATCGTAGCTTTGCAGCAACAATTACTGCAGTTGACGCAGAAACAAAAAGAGGATTTGGATTTGTTATTAACGACGCAGAAGCAAGAGTTGGATCAACTTGTGTTAACTTGGCAAGCAAAACAAAAGACACTCGATGCAGATCAAGCTACCGAGTTGGCGAATATGAAAGAAGTACAGGCGAGAGAAATTGCAGATTTAGTCCAAGTACAGGAGAAAGAGTTGGCGATGGAACGGTCGGTTCATGACACTGAGATGAAGATGATGTTGGAACGACGATTGTTGAACTCGGTTTTAAATACAGTCGTGGATGCGATTATCACGATTGATCCAGTGGGAACAATCAAAAGGTTTAATCATGCCGCTGAAATTATGTTTGGTAAAGTTTATAATTACGATATGTTTTTTTTAACTGAAGTTTGAACTTTTAGGTTACACTGCATCAGAAATAATCGAAACCAACATCCGAGACTTAATGCCAGAAAGATTCTCGACCAACCACGACCAGTATCTCAATAACTATATGACAACCGGTGTGAAAAAAGTAATCGGACTCGGGCGACGAGCATTTGGACTCCACAAATCCGGCGCAGAATTTCCAATTCATCTATCCGTATCCGAAGTCAAAGAGAATGGTGTACACTTGTTCACTGGTATCGTTCGTGACATGACGCGACAAATTCAAAATGAAGAGCAACAAAAGCTCAAGGAACAGCAAAAGCAAGAAGAATTACAGTCATTGATTAGCGAATTGGAAACACAGCAGAGTAAAGCCGAGTTGTTGCTTTCGAATATGTTGCCGAGTTCTATTTCGAGAAGCTTGTTGAGCGGACAGAATTTGGATCCGGAAAGCTATGCGAGTTGTACCATCATGTTTTTAGATGTGGTGCAGTTTTCGCAGCTATGTTCAAAGATTTTGCCTGTTCAGACAGTAGAGTTTTTGAATGATTTGTTTAAAGGTATTTTCAATATGTATTTAATTTTTAAATACACATTATGAAACTATAACCAACTGTGCTTCAGGTCTTGATGATATTATTGACACATATGATGCCTACAAAGTCGAGAGCGTTGGTGACAGTTACATGGTTGTATCTGGAGTGCCACATCGAAATGAAGATCATGCAGGAGTCATTGCAACGATGGCCTTACATTTCTTGGAATATGTGAAAAGTTTCAAAATGAAACAAGATCCCGAAGCTTCAGTGCAACTGCGTATCGGAATTAATACAGGTGCAAGAATAGATTCAGTTATAATGTTGTTTTGGAAGCTAATCGTTGTGAATAATCGATTACAGGACCCGTTGTTGCTGGTGTTGTCGGATTGAAAATGCCAAGATACTGCTTATTTGTATGTATTCTTGGATCAGGATAACTCTAACAAAACATAACATCTCTCTAGGGGGACACGGTAAACACGTCATCAAGAATGGAATCATCAGGTCAAGCAATGTCAATACAGTGCAGTGAATCAGCACACGACGCATTGCAGAAGTTAGGAGGATACAATTTGGAGTTACGTGGTGAGATGGCAATCAAGGTATTCTCGAAAAGACTGAATATTATCGATTTATGTTTAAAACTATTGGTAGGGTAAAGGGAAGATGAGAACTTATTGGCTGAAATCCAAAGAAAATGCTAACTTCGTACTTCCAACACAAAATTAAAAATATAAAATAAAATTAAGCTTTTGAAAATATATTTCTTCGTGTATAACTGACATAGCGGTAGTTTCTGAAATTAGCTGACTAGAAAATACAATTTACACTTTAAAATCAATTAAATCACTTCTCCAATGTTCATCAATACACATTTCTCTTCGAAAGACTCGCATTTTCTCCAAATCAATTTCCGCAATCTGCACAGAAGGTTCTAATTCCGATCCACAGTTTGCAAGAATCTCACCCCACGGGGAGATGATCATCGAGTGCCCATAACTTTGCCGCTGTGTTCCGTCTTTTTTCTCCACTTTGTCACTTGCACCACCACAATCTGTATTGAATTCTTGTTGATTTGTTTCGCAATCACAACCGATGTAATTCGGATGAAATCCAACGTGGTTACTGGCAATCACATAGCATTGATTTTCAATCGCTCGCGCGCGTAATAAAATTTCCCAATGCGCGGCCCCGGTTTTTTGAGTGAATGCTGATGGGAAAGTAAGTATCTCTGATTTGTGCGTGTATCGCGTGTAGGTTGATAGCAGAGGGAATCGGACATCATAACAAGTTAATGGAGTTAATAAACCTATGGGCGTTTCTATTGGTGAAGGAACTATTATAAAACGTAAAAATGTGTCAGAACAATAGCGACAAGAAGAAAATATCGAGAAAAAAAGATAACCTTCTGATCCAGCTAAAGTAGTTATAGTCTCAGATATAAGTTTTTTCGGATCTTTGTAGTAAAATAGATGAATCTTGCGATATTTTGAAACAATCGTGCCTGAATCGTCAATGACTTTGAAAAGAACGGTAAGAGAAGCGAATTTTTTGAATAAAACTTACTTAATTGAGTATTGTATACTTTTGTGGGATGTGATTCTTTCTCATGGATTCCAACGGATACGTAAATCTTATTCAACTTTGCTTGATTCTAATAAAAAACGTGAGCTCACTATTTTAGGACCGATTTACCCCTAATACCATTAGTTCCTTCGTAAAGTAACCAGATATTGTTTGACTCAACGGATCTATTTCAAAATACGTATAAGAAGCTTGTCGATACTACTCTCCGTTATAATTACAAACTTGAGACTTGTCTGCAATAAAGTCCGCCGCTTCAGGTAAGAAAACCATCTTTTTAAATTAGCAACCTTTGTAAGAAGCTGTAGGACTAAAATCCAACCTTTGCACCCTTTTCCGCCGCGATTTTAATCAAATTTAAACAAGTGGTTAAATTATCGCGAATGCAATTCGAACCACAAAACTACATAGCATTTAACGCAAAGTGTATAAAATTAATAAACAGATTGCATACTTGAGAAACAGCTGCCAAAACCATCCGCATCAACTTTCGTAAAAGGCAATGATGACGAACGAATTAACACATGCAACAAAATTACTTGCGGAAAAAGACGCTTTGGAGCTTCAGATTTCTGCTTTATTGGACTCTTTAAAAGATGTATGATCTAAGCTGGTCTGTACTGTAACATCTTCTTAACTCTTGGTTCGGTAGATGGGAGTGGGGATGTCTGATTCTTTAATCGATGCGGATGGTTTCCCACGAGCTGATATTGATGTATACACCATTCGACACGTTAGAAATCAAATAATTCGTAAATTTTTTCCATCTTGTTTGAATTCGCTCTTTATTGATTACTTTTTCTCTTTCGTTTGTTTCTTTTCTTTTATATAGGACTGAAAACGGATCTGAAGAATAAAATGAAAGAAATGGAAGCAGCATTATATACGTTACATTCTGTAAAATGGAAAGAATCTGTCGGTGAAGATTCAAACTCACCACCGGCTCAGCGTAAAGCAGTTTGTTTGCTTATCCATCATTCACAAGGGACAATATTACTGTGGCTCATTATGACTCCCAATTCTTAGTTTCACCGTTTCTTAAAATCAACAAGGTGTTGTTGGAATCCCCATCTCATTCGGCCGGGTTCCAAGCGAACGATTTGATATTGAAATTCGGGAATATACAATTTGAAGGTGGATCTGAAGATTTATTGAAGAAAGTTGCGAGTTTGGTTGCTTTATCTGAGAACGTGCGCTTCTTTTCTTTTAAATCGTTGTTTCGTGGTTTCATCTTCCCTTCTTTGTTAGAAATCTATTGCCGTTACTCTTTCAAGAGACCGAAAATCAATTGAAACAACATTGGTTCCCAAAAAATGGAGTGGAAGAGGATTATTGGGGTAGGTTCTTCTGTGATTTACTATTTCGATCTGTAATTTTCTTTAGCTGTTTCTTGGTGAATGTATAGCGGTTGTGGGCTTTGTTTGTTATACTATTTTGAGTTCCAGCAGTATTTATTACTTTGTCCAAATGAAGTGACAGATGACAGCTTATGTCAAAGAGCTTCAAACACCAGTGAATTTCCTTTCCAATTGTACCCGTTAAGTTAAGCTTTGATATATTGAAAAGAGCTCATTAATTGTTCGTCCAGAATAGAATCTTTCGTCCCGCAAGTCACATTTGTAGCAAATTTCGTCACTGGTTTTAATTTAGAAAAACCTCCACAATAGCTTAAGCAGGTTAGAGCACTTGTAATCGGCTCAAGTTGTCCAGGTTCAAATCCTTGGTTGTGGACTGAATATTATATAGTAAAAAAATAAAAATTAAAGTTTATTTACTGAGGGAAATTTAAAACGAATCTACCAAATAGATGAAGAAATAACAGAGTAAGAAAAGTAAATTTTCAAAAGAGGAAAAAAAATGTCATTATTGTATAAAGTCTTCGTCTTTTTCTATCCACAAATCATACTTAAAACAAGATAAGTCGTTGAACCAATAAATCGGATACCGGATAATCCCAAAACGGAGTAGAATATGAACTGTTAAAATATTGAATTCACGTTAAACTTCTTTAATGATAAGAAAAGAAAATAGATGCTTGCCTTCAAATATGGATTGAACGGTCCGCTAAGGTCAATGCCCAGCACTCTATCCCAGATTTCCAACGCAGTTTTAGAGGAAAACAGTGTGATTAATGCCAAATTACTAATAAACCACATCAATACGACTCGCGTTCTGAATGCCTTAAAGTAATCTTCTTGTTTCGTTTTGGAATCTCGATGCGATCGCAAGGCAGGTCGAGGAGCCTTTAACTCTTTCAAGAATTTCTCGTAATTGTTGTTGATGTCGTTCTTGTCCGTTGGAATTTCCAAGTCAACCTCCATTTTACCATCTTTATTCTTGGTAGCCGTAACCGCTCCTAAATCAGCATTGCCCGAATTGTCACCCCTATTTTAAAATTTGATTAGCTGAAAGTTCACTGTCACTACCAAAATCAACTCACTTTGTTCCCCAGGAAACATCGTGAAGATTGGCAACTGAAAAAAAAAGTATTAACTCATGCTTCTCACAATAAAGGAGTTGAATACATACAGGCATATACTTGTAAAATGTTGACAAAGGCGGGTAATAAAAACATGTACTGAATGAATGAAGTGAACATGTGCGCCGGCTCAAAGTACATGAAGGAAGCCAAGAAGTACAAGCCGTAAGTCGCAGAAGTGGAGACAACCATATCTCTGAATACTTCGTTTTCTAGCAAACTCGAAATCTTCTTCCAATCGTCTAACGTCTTCGGAACAGTCAAATAAACAGTGTATCCAGACACGTATAACATGACAGCCATGATTATAGCGAATAGAACGATGGCCGAGGTATAAAGAATCTTCGATCCTTGAGGCCGATTTCCAAAAGCGCTAATAATGATGAGAATCATGACAACTCCGTAGGCCCCTTGCAATGCGAAGAATACATCGGGTCCGTTCCCTCGCATTGCGCCAGGTGCTGCACCCTTAGTGGTGTCAGGTCGATATCCAAAGGGGTCCATTTGCGTATTTACCCCGGGAGCGTCTTTATTTACTCGACCTTGTAGCAAGAAGAAGAATACCAAGTAAAAGTTGCCCTTTTTAGGTTGAGAGTTAGTAACAATAGATGAAGAAAAAGATTAGAATTACCAATCCAAACCAGTTGAAAAATAATTGAATTAAATTGTACAAAAATTCAATGCAGAGTAGCAATTTCCGCAGAATCGAATGACCGGATCTGAACAAAAAGTACCAATGCGTCAAGGCGTGCATTCCGGCAAAGAAAGAACCATTAAGCCAACGACGTCGCTGTTTGCCAAAATTTATTATTAAAATCAGGTAAGATATACTCGCCATAAACATACCTGACTGATGAACTCGGGAACAGAATCGGGCACATCGGTTTCAGCCTTCGCAGCTTTAACATAATGCAGAAGCCATGCTTGATTTTGTTTCGTGACCAATTCAAAACATAAAATACGATCTTCAGCCAAATACATGTTCGCAGAGAAAATGTCTGATCCTCCGTGCATAGACTCTCCTTTGAAATATTGCTCTAAAGGATGCCCTTGCAGCGCAGCGTATCGGTATGCAGAGAAAGCACCAGGAAGTACCTGCAATTTGAATCAATATACATAACAGATTCTAGCTCGTACCATCAACTTACTGAAATGAAACCAAAAACAGATTCTAATGGTTTATCCAAAATGTTGGAGATTTTGTACTCAAAGTTCTGTGCAGCAACCAAAGGGTTCAACATGTTCACGCACCCAGGACCGACTTCGGCGTAAATCTCACCACATGCTCCACCAATGGAGGGGTTCCTGTCGAAGGCTTTCCACAAATGGTACAAAGAAGTTCCACTAGGTTTCGTACCGACATCGATAAGAATGCAAACGTTGGGTCGCAGCAAGGGTCCGAAAGCATTGAAGAACCAACGATGGGAGTTGATCTTCTTAGCGTTCTTTTCTTTCAAACAGAACAGAATTTGCATCGGAACGATTCCATCCGAAGGACCTCGAATACCTCCTTCAGTATCAACGGAAATTTGCGACGTATATTCAAACAGGTGTGCAGTAACATTTTTGCCGTTTACGCTATCTTTCATAATTCCGTCTTGATATGCTCCCATCACTCCAAGTACACTGAGAACACGAGGATTAATCTTCGTTCTTCCATCAGATACAATACAGATTGTAATCTTTTTCCAACCGTCTCCACCCCATGTCTTTGATTTGCTTCGTGTGCATAAATGAGCAATGTTTTTCGCAAGAGCGTACATTGTCTTTGTGAATAAAAAGTCGTCTTCATTGTACCTAAACGTTGCAGTAAAGTGAGATTGATGCATCATAACAAAAGCGAAATAATTGATAAATGGTTACATTGTTACAACCACAAACATCTCTGTTGGTCGTCCGGATTCTTGTTGCCTTAAGGTATAGCCCTGAGTCGGGAATTGGTTTGCGTCGCATGTTACAGCAGTATATCGCATATGTGTAAACTCTTCTCCTGTTTTAAATCTTCCGGTTTGCAAAACTCGGTCGGGCACCGGAATATCAATAACCAAATTTCCTTGGGGTGTAAGTTGAATTTGTCTGATGGTCTTTTTGGATGGTTGTAAAGGGGGACCTCCTTGCATTGGAGGTGGACGCGGATAACCGGCTTGGGCAGGTATTAATAACGCGGGAACCATTGCCGGAACCATTTGAGGGGTTCCACTGTATGGCATTGGAGCATAGGGGCGGCCATCTCCCTGCGGAGAGTAATTTTGAGGGGATCCTCCCCGAGAATATTCTCCTCTTGATCCATTATGCCCATTGCTAGAGGGAGATGACAAAGAAGACGAATAGTCGTCATTTCGGTTCCTGTCCATTCTGTCGCGGTCGGACCTGTCTCTTCCGCTATTTGAACGCTGCTGCTGTCCATAGCCTCTATCGTCTCTTCTGTCATCTCTCCTATCATCTCGCCGGTCGTCGTCGTATCGTTGATTTTGCGGTCGATAGCTCATTGTTTCGGATTAAAATTTTTGTGTTACACGACCCTTAATCTGCGGCCAAAAATAAATTTTACGTAACTGCATACGGCAAATAAATGCTGATCTAATATTGCAGATGATATTTTATAAAGTACAATTGAAAATCAATAAACAACTTTTTTAATCTCTCAATCAATCCCAATCATCCCCCCAGTCTTCAGCATCGCTTCCTTCTTTCTTCACTTCTGGTGGATCAACTTTCGCTTTCGTTCCCGTCATGATCGGTGTATTGACTGCCGAAGGAACACTGACCAGATCATAACTTGTATCGGTTTCACCGTCCGATTGCTTTGAATCTTCGCTATTGCGTTGTACTTTTGCACTACCTGTGCTGGGCTCAGTTGGGTTTGTTTCAACCTCATTCTCTACAGATTTCTCGAGTTCGACACTCTCCTCGCTTTCATTATGTTCAGTTGTTTCTTTCGCATTAACAACATCGTTATCCTCGTCGTCGCTTCCCCAGTCAATAACTTCTTCCGTATCTTTCGCTCCTAATGCTTGATTTATCAGCGCCTTGCGCGCCTCAATTTCAGATTCGAATTTCATAGCTTTGTAATAATATCTCGACCAAAATACTTCATTGGTCAAATGAGATGGAACTGTCAAATACAGAATTGCAATTAAAAAAAAGCTATTTTAAAAAAATCATCACATACCCAACTTATTATAAACTTTCAACGTGTTATCATCCTCCAAAAATAGCTTTACTTCTTCCTCATGATCTTTAAGTTCAAATCCCTCCACCCACATGGAAAAATCCCCAACACCATCGTTCTCCCATAAATAAGTTTTCGCATCACATCTTAATTTCAACAACTCCAGCGACTTTCTATCCAAAAATACCTCTTTACTCTTCTTCTTTTCTTCAATCTCAATCGCAGAAGAAAAATACGAAATCGACGAATTAAGTAAATTCGACGCGTAGTTCGTGTATTGCTTTACAGATGGCAGTTCTGGGATTGACGAATTCAAAATTTCGGTATTTAAAAGATCGGGAATCGGTGTGTGCAGGGCTTTGTTTAGTGAGTCGGGAATATGGAAAGATTTGAATAGGTTGCTGTTCATAGCAGACGCCGATATATCTAAAGGCTCGTCTGATGAAATAGAAATCTCTGGGGGTAATCCGAATACTGCTGGATTAAAGTCCTCCATTGGCGTGCCACTTGGGTGTTGAATTGAATTCGAAATTTGATCGAGAGTTGACTTCGATTCCGTGCTAATTACGTGAACAAATTCATTCAAGTCCCTGATAAAATAGGTGACGCACATAAGAAAACTTTGCGACTATTCATTGTTCCATCAAAATTACCTTGCATAAACGTCAACAATAGCTTCACTCTATATCGAATATTACTTATCTTCAAAAAACAAAGAACCGCACCATAAATACCTGTTTTCTAACCGAATTCAGAAAGTCAGTGGGAATTGTAGGGATAGCTGAGGAAAAGGAAGAGAACCACGAAGAAGAAGAAGACTTTGCAGAAGGAAGTGTTACTTTTTCAGAAGCGGCGGGTTCGTCAGGAAAGTTAGAATCTTCCATGGCGTCCGTCATTGAGAACTTGGGATTGTTTTGACAGAATCAATCTGTAGCGAAAATCCTTGATTTTTCGATTATAACAACAACCATGTCTGAATGCTGAGTTCTTACATTAAGTTCTTCTCTGAAGAATAAAGAACTCTTTAATATTGGAAAAAGTATCATATATTTATATCATGATTCACAGCTGAAAACTGTTT